CGGAATCTAAGCCCGATGACGCTGTAATCACCCGATACAGTAGCAAACACCGCAGGTTTGTCACAGACCTTTGGTTTCGACGGCAGCCTCCACCCTCCAAGCCGAGACAACGGCTTGAGAAAGAGTGTTCAAAAATCTCTGCCAGCTGGCTACACCCTAAATCCTGCCAAATTCCTGAACCCTAGACCCATAAACCCTAAACTCTAAGCCCTAAACCCTAAACGCCCTAAACCCTATACCCTAAACCCTATACCCTAAACCCTGAATGCCCTAAACGCCCTAAACCCTATACCCTATACCCTAAACGCCCTAAACGTCCTAAACCCTATGCCCTAGCTCCTCTTGAAGTTGAAAGAGTAGGAACCTGAACTCCTCTGAGGCCCCAACTGCGCTGCAGAGCTGCCGCAGTCAGGCCGAGCCATCTTCGTAGGGTTTAGGTTTTAGGGTTTAGGGTTTAGGGTTAGGGTTTAGGGTTTGGGGTTTAGGTTTTAGGGCTTAGGGTTTAGGGTTTAGGGAAAATTGGAAGATGCGTCGGTTATAGGACTTAGATTAGGGGTTTTGGGATTAGGGTCTATACGGAGTTAGCGCTTGGACGATTGTAAGTACACAACTACACTAGAATGGACCATGCAGTGTTGGTTGAAGCTGCCTGGGGATGTACGACTCGGCCATGACGTGTAGCCTACCTGCAAGCTTCAGCGTACGATGTAGGAATCCTATGGAGCAACAGCTTATGATTTCGTAGTAATCGACTGAAGAGACATGGGAGCAAGCTTCCGGGCCGGGCTGTGTTCTGTATTGTTCTTTTAGCATGCTAGTTGTGTTTTTGCAGCCTCCCCCTCCGTCGCCTCCTCCTCCTCCTCCTCCGTCATGCTGGCGCCACTGACCGCAGCATTTCTGCTTCTTCTGGGTATGGTACAGCATTTGTTATGCTTACTGCTTGCTTTCTCGTCAACATGTGGTCCCTTCATCTTGGCAGGCTCTCCAGAACAACTCTCTGGTTCTTTGTAGGGGAGTTGGGGAATGGATCCCTATGATAGCCCCTTAAGGTCCCCTATAGTAGTCCCAATAACCCTTTCCTCCGTTCCCTACTAAGAACCAGTCAGACAATGCTAACTCCCCAACTGCAGTCAAGCGAAGACACGATTCGGGTTCATGTACTGTAGTATAGAAGCCAAAATTAACTACCAATACTATTCCTTAGGGTTCCTTATTCCAATTATACCCTAAAAAGTCCTATAGTAAAGCCTTACCCTTAGTATCAAAATAGCCCAAAAGACTTGTGTATATCACGGTCTTTGGGCCCAAAAGCCTTAAGATATATAAGTCCTTTGAGGGTAAAGCCTTAGCCCCAAACATTTAAAGGGGGGACAAACTCCGAACACCCTGGAGCTTCCATCCTGCAAGATAGTCCGAAGCTGAAAGCAAATACCCCAGCCCCAAACCGAAACCCTACCACCCCGAGTCCTTGAAGCCCCAAAAACGCGGGTTTAGGGTTTTAGGGTTTAGGGTTAAGCGAAACAGAAGCCGGAACCCCGAAAGAACTGAAGCCTAGAGCCTATCTTGTTTCGTAGAAGGCGGGCTGCCAGTGGCTGCCGGGTGAGTGGGGCCCTTGCAGCAGCACTTGCGAACCTGGCACCCGTTCAAGGCTCGGACGTTTCCTGGTAGGGGTTTAGGGTTTAGGGTTTAGTACTATGAGGGTTTTATTTGTATCTTAACTTAGCGATTCGTCTTTTGGCTTCAGGGTTCAGGGTTTAGGGTTCGCGATTGGATTTTGAGGGCAGCTGTTGCCGAATTAAAGTTACGTGGTAGGACGTAAGAACGTAGTCATACACCGGGAATGGGTCTCTTAAAAGCGCTTTGGGGGTTCATGCAGTTGGCACCTGGTGCGGGGCTTAATATTGGGGCCTTGGCTATTACCTATTATATTTCGTGGGTTCCTTATTGTAACTATAGTATAATATATCCACCAAACCCTATTCTAATCAATGATTCCCTATACTATTTTTTTTGGGGGGGCGTCATTATCATAAGCATAGTAGAACATACCGAAAAATCCGAGTCTAACGAATAATTGTCTATACTATTTTGGAGTGTTGCTTCTTATATTTATAGTTCTAGCATAATTTCCCCCCAAACCCTGTTCCAATTATTCAGGCCCCTAAACCCTAAACCCTTGTAGTAGCACTTATAGAGCCCTTTTATTAAAGGACCCCCCCCCAAAAAAAAAAAAAACTATTCTAATTGTTATGACCCCTATACGAGATGCAAGGGCTCCCGGGTTTGTCGATCTGGTGCTGGGACTTGTGACTGATGCTTTGAGGAGTCTTGGGGGTTTAGGATTGAGGATTTAGGGTTTAGGGTTGAGGGCTGAGGGTTTAGGGTTTAGGGTTGAGGGTTTAGGGGTTGAGGGTTGAGGGCTTAGGTTGTCGAAGCGGCAGGGGCCAAGCACGGAACCCTGTAAACGCCTACATGTTAGGGTGTTTTCTGCTGACTTCCGCGTGTGGGTATGTTACAGTATGCAATGAATGTCTACATCTACGTGCACAGATATCTGCACATAGTGGAGGGTTCGAAGGCTGGAAAGGATGCATTGAAGACTGCCGAGGTGCCACCTTGAATCCGCAGACCCCCAGTCCCTCAACCCTATAAACCCCTATAGGCCCTTACAGGACCCTGAACAATTGGATACATCTCAACTTGGATGTTCTGGTCTAGTAAGTAGAACTGGGAGCTCAATGTTCGGCATCGCCCCTGGAACTGACCCTCTCTAGTTTAAGGGTTCAGGGTTCAGGGGGCACGTAGGGTTCAGGGTGTACGGCTTAGCACAGACCGGAACTTTCAACCTGACGTTAACCGCAATTATACGAGGATGCAGTATGGCATATTTAGTTATGTGAGTGGGTACTTCATGGTCCTATGTTTTTTGCACCCATGGATTTCAACCATTAGTACAATGACCCTAAACCCGAAACCCTAAACCCAAAACCCTAAACCCTAAACCCTAAACCCAAAGCAAGCACCAAAAAGCACAAAAAGAAAAAAGGCAACCCACCGAAGGTTCAGGGCTCCCAAACGCGAAAGTGAGAAGCCTGAGCCCTGACACAGCCGACAGCCGACAGACCAAACTTCCTGGCATTCAGGGTTTTAGGGTTTAGGGTTTGAGGGTTTAAAGGTTTAGGGTTTAGGGTTTTTTTTGAAATGTTTAGGGTTTAGGGTTTATAGGGTTTAGGGTTTTCGTCCCCAGGAACATCTCCTGCAGTGGCACCAGCGAAGCAGATTGCTCCCAGGCCTGCTCTTAGAGAACCCTCACAGCATAATTAGGACCTCATGGAAAGTATAGACGCTTTTCCTAAACCCTAAACCCCTAACCCTAACAGAACCCTACAGGATCATGTCCGAAACCCAATAGAACCTAGAACGTGATGCTTCTGTAGTAGGTTGGATGACCCGAACCCAACAGGCTCCAAGGCTGGAATGAAGGTAGGTGGGGTAATCCCAAAGTAGGAGTCCATGTATAAGGGATCCTTAATCCTACCTACCTCCATCCCACTTTTTGAGGCCTCGTACGAATTTGCTCGCCATCAGGGGGCAATAGTAGATCGAAGCAGAGCGGCCACCACCCGTGCCTGCTCCGCAAAGGCCAGCGCACTGTCTGGCTTAAGAAAGCCGACGTTGTAGATTCTCGTTCTCCGAAACCGTTGGCTAAGATTGCTATGGACTTCACCGAGGATTGCTACCACAGCTAGCAACAGCAAGAGCAGTAGTCTGCCTATGAATGAGCTTCTTAAGTCAGCCCTAAACCCAAAACCCTACAGCCGATAAACCCTGAACCATGAACCCCGGAACCGATACCCTGAGCTAGAGCTGAGCCGAAGCTTCAAAGTCTGGATACAACACCAAATAACATGGCATATCGTATTAAGGTATTACATGTTCTATGCTTTTGTTATAATATACTACTTCATGTCAGAGTACGTCATGATACCCTAAACCCATGATGCACTCTGATCATAGAAGGAAACCTCTGAAGCATCGCCAGGCACCCAGGCCGCCCGACAGGGAAGCGTGCAACGCCCAAGCCACCGGTCGCGATCTTGGCATACAGAGATAGTCGCCGCTTAATGCGTTTAGGGTCCTAGGTCGTCCAGCTCGCCGTGCGAGCTTCAGTTTTTGCCCTTGCAAGATCTGTTGCCGGCGCGGATCAGACGATCCGGTATTCAACCATCCGAGTCCAAGGTTATAATGTCTGCAGTGAATCGAGAAATTCCATGGCGCTAGCTCTGTCAACAACGAGACCTTACTTACATTTCACAAAGAGGATCATGTCAAGCTGGGAGAACCTGCGTCTTCTTGGTTTGGAGTGGTTTCAGTAAAGGAATACGTAGTCAAACTGGTGGGAATCGGGAGCTGCTAGTGTTTTAAGCAGGATCCGTGGAGTTGGGGGGTTTGGGCACGACATCTGCAAGAGCCATCTGGGCCGAGCCAGCGCCTCGCAAAAAGCCACGCAGTCAGGGCCTTCGGGCGTTGGGCTCCTGCCGCCATGGCCGTTACAGTGCTGAACGACCTAAAGGCGCCCCTTGAGGTGAAGGACCCAGGGTCAAAAACTTGGAAGGTGGTTTATCCGAGGCGGTCATGGAGTCTGTCAGGTGAGGAACCGACACAGGTCCGGCTGCGCGAGGAGCCGGCAGTGCAGGGCACCTGCGAGCGTCAAGGGACCCTGAGCGCCTCTGAAGATTTTGGCGAAGTCAGCGCGCGTGGGAAAGACTTGGACGCCTTCCATGAAAGATCCGTGGCGAGAGAGAGAACACGCCGATCGAAGGCAATGGAGCGGCAGCGGCGACTGCAGCGGCGACTGCGGCAAGCACGGGAGGAAGTCAACACAACACTCATGGTCTTTTGCTGCATTGTAGGAAGCACGCTGGGAGTGTGTCCGCCTTTGCTTTTTTTTCGCCTCTAATACGCCGGAGGATGCAGGGGACGCACTTGGATTGGCCGTTATGGCGGCCCTCTTGTGCTGCTGCATGAGTTTTTGCACTCTTGCGCGTGGAAGCTACACGAAATTCGAGGCCTGTGCCTCTAACTCCCTTTGCCTTGGCGGACTGCTATGCCTTGCGGCATTGGTTTGGATGACGGTCCGGCATGTGCAAGAGGGCTTTTGGTGGACCGCGTTCATCCTCTGCCCGGCAGCCTGCTGTGGCTGCTTGCAGTCGACCGCGTTCTATGTGTTCTATTGGACAGACAGGGAAGAGCGGCCAGAGGGGTTCTTAGAAGCTCACGTGCGGAGGCTCGAATCCGCAGAGGCGGAGATCCAGAGGAGAAGCCTCCGGTTTGAAGGATCGGTGATCCGCGAGGTTGGCCGGCCCTGCGTCACCTCCTGGCCTGGTAAGTACGAAGGGGGCTGGGAGAGGCTCGTCGCTGAGAGTCGCCAGGGGCAGGTCAGCGCGGCCGTGGTGTTCCTGCCAGACGGTCGTTTTGTCGTAGTTCGGTAACAGTTTACATCTTTGGTGGTTTTATATAATATAAGGAATAGACACTTACTTTTGTAGTTTTAATAAACCACCCATGAACTAGGTACGAAGGACAGTGGGAAGCACGATCGTATCCCGGAAGAGGAAGGCCTCACCGGCGCCTGCTGGTGCACACCCCTCTACGGCGAGCGGAAGCCTTGGGGCTGTCGGTGGTGGACGAAGTGGATGGCAAACGTGGAGCTTGCCGTGAAGTCTGGAGCTCAGCTAGACGTCTACTTCATGAAAGGCCAGGATATGATATGATACTGTATGTTACTATAGTATATTGCGTTATATTCTATTCTGTGATATTATACTATATTATACTATATTATACTATATTATACTATATTATACTATATTATACTAGACTATATTGAGTTATATTATATGTATTCTATTAGATTATACTATATTATACTATGAATTATATGTTATATATATGTATATGTATTTTATGTTAGATATTGCTTCATGACAGGCCAGGTGGGCAAGGGCAAGGTGGAAAGCTTCGACACGGCTGGAAGCGAGCACCTTCGAAAGGATAAAATCCTTGCGAAGCGCGCCGACTTCAAGAATTCCGCAGAGTTCCAACAAGCCTCCGCCGCAGGTCTCGATGGCCTCTCTCGCGAACGCTGTGAGGATAGCTCCTCCCGCTACGCCAAAGAAGTTGATCGCTTGTTCCTGGCTTGGCTTCCGGTCCCCTCAGGAGTATCCTTTTGCCCTGGTTTGTTCCGGGTCTCCTCAACTTGAAACTGCATGAACAATAAAGCGCGAGTTTAGGGACCTTCAGTCGATCTTACCCTTATCCCATGCATTTTTTGATCAATTTGTCTTTGCGATTTCTGGCGAACCAAGGCTTCCCAAAGAGGATGCGGAGTTGCTGGAAGGTTGGGAAGGCCTGGGGAACTCGCAAAAAGCTGAGGTGGCCTGGCTCGAGCGGAAGGGCTACAGCTACCGCGGGGTCGACGTCGCCACGTGGCTCGCAGAGGACAGCAACGAAGGCCATGGCCATGCTATGAGGCCTGATGTCGAGTCCAAGCCGCAAAGCGCAAGCGCAGCACCTTGGGCGCTTCCGCACGAAATCCCAGCTGCTGTATCAGATCTCAATCAGGCCGTTGGCGCTCCCGCGGCCCCAGAGCTGTTGGAGTAGCTGCTTGAGCTTCGTCAAGACGATGAGGCCATAATACAGGGGCCTAAATACTTACCAAATACTATTTTGGGGGTTCCTTATTATAAAGATATAGTAGAAAGGGCCCCGAAACCCTAGTCTAATTATTAAGGCCCCTATATTACTTCGGGAGTTTGAGCCTGAACAGGTTTAGGGTACAGGCTAGCCTTGCGTGCGGCGAAGTCCACGCATGCGCCGTACTCTCGCAGCAGCTCCTTTAAGCATTTTAAGCCATAAAAACTGTGCTTCGGCAGCTTCAAGTCAAAAACTCCGGTGCAGAGAGCATGGGGCAGCAGGGTCGCAGGGTAATTGCAGGTTACAGATTTCGGGCTTTCCATGTGGGAGTTCGATACTGTACGGCAGCTTTACTTTCACATCACCATATATCAGCTGCAGGGATTACAACGGCTGCAGCTCTGCCTTTACCCGGTGCCCCAGATAACCCAAGCTTCGCTAGACAGCACCTGGAGACCGTGGGGCCCTGGAGAGGCTTACTTGGGGGTTCATGGGCAGTTATAAGTAAGTCCCCTATATGGGTTATAAGTATAGTTACTTATAACCCCATGTGTAACTACCCGTGAACCCCCAAGTAGGGTTTTAGGTTTAGGGCGCACAAAGCAGTTTCAAGTCAGGGGTTAGCGTTTCGGGCTTCGCAGTCCGGTACACGCCTAGGGGTCGGGCTTAGGGTCCAAGCTTGGACCTGCCACTATTGCGGGAAGATGCAGGAAGTGGCCAATCAACATAGATCGCCTTTGACAGCATACAGCAATCTGCAATACGCTCCGAGCTTGTACCGACCCATCTGTTGGGATCTGCCCCACAAGCACATCACCTCGATCAAGCATGAATTGTTAAATTGTGACATGTTCGCATACGACCATGTTCGATTCTCCCGAAGAAACAGTTAAGCTCTGACTCGTCATCTTAGCTGCACTTAGAATAAGCAGCAGCGGCAGTCGTCATAGTAGTAGTACACACCCCCGCCATTGACAATACGAGCAAAAGCACGTGTCGACAGCTGCCGCAAATATGATCTGCATCATCATCGTGACATGATGCTGGTATAGATTTAAGAGGACATTCCTGAATGTCATCATAAAAACCAAAGCAATCCCCAGTGGCTCTCGTTCTTCAGGTTGCGACTGGAGCTTGGGAGCCTGGTCCCCATGCTCCGCCACTGCTTGCCTGGCCCTGGGCAGCCGCGTGCGCGAGGTCGGAGGGGGCCCTTTTGCAGGGGGTTATAACAGTAATAGTAATAATAATAATAATAATTAGAAGAATGATGATGATGATGATGGTGATGATGGAACATGATTACAAATGACCAAAATAGCAGCAATAATAGCAATAATGACACCTGGCGATAATCAAGCGACTCCTCTTAGTGGTACCCGAGACCCTAAACCCTTTTCCCGGAACAGTGTGTATGGCCTTTATGGGAGAGCGCTCATGGGTTTTGGGGTTACGGTCAAAGGCTGAAGGGTTTCGGGGTGCTGCTGGCGACGTTTTTGCGTGGCGATAAGAGACCATCTTTGGAGGTTGTCATGAAAATAGGGGGGCGGCGGGGGCAAAAATTGAGATGCTTGCAAGAGGCTGCTATAGGAGATTCTTCTGGTTTAATGGGGATTTGCGGCTTCAGGATTTGCTTCGAAGCGTTTAGGGCGTCCAGACAGCACACCCCGAACTTGTGGTTAAGCAGGCACCACTAGTGCTCTAGAAGTCGGAGCGCGCTTGTGTTGCATGTGGTTACTTTTGGTTAGGGTGCCTTCACGGTTTCATGGTGCGCTCGTGCTCGGGGATTCCTCGCATACACGCGATGCGCGTTGGAAGCGGGTGCGGATGAAGGACGGTTTGCAGGTGCGGAGGCTGAGGGCCGGGGCCGAACAGGCAGAGAAGAGGCCTCGCTCCATAGATTTTTACTGGCGGTCGGTTGCTGAAGGATGCAAAGCTGCTGAAAGAGACTGCATGGATACGCCGAGGTACAGGGAAGTATCTTGCGGCTTAAAGGTAGGAGTTTAGGGGGTTTATTTACACCCTAAAAATGTTGAGCCCTCAATTTCTAATCCTCAGCCCTGAACAGAAGCCTGAGCCCGTGCTGCTGCACCGTGAGTCAAAGGTAGCCAACACGGGGTGCTGGAAGAGGGCATTCCGAACTCAACCGTTTAGGGTTTAGAGTTTAGGGTTTTCTGTTTAATTAGGGTGTAGGGTTTACCTGTAGCCGAAAAGACCTACCTTTCTTAAGGAACTATATATAGAAACTCTAATAAGGAACCCTAAAACGGTCGGTCTTTTCGGTTACAGGTAGGGGTTAAGGGATCCCAAACAGCTCCCAGTGGGCTTCCGGTCTGCCGGCCGAAAGACGCACCCGGCACAGGCCCGAGAGCCCCACAAAGCTCTTCAAAATATGGGAGTTTCCGTAAACAAGGGGTACCTTATTTTGGGATCCTTATAATAAGGATCCTAGTATTTAGGGTACTAGAGTAGGGTCCACTTTTTTCGGCAACCCCCATATCCCCACTCTCACATCTTTGACAAGGAAGGCTGCAACTCCCTCGAAACCATCACCAGATTCAACCTGGCAAACCCAAGCCTTCACCGACGCTGTCTTTGAACCAACCAGTTACTCTTGACATTTACATAGGTTCTTGTCTAGTCCAGGCATTCTGTAGGCATGTACGGATAGGGTAATGAGATATGGGTTATGATTTACAGTTGAAGGGCTTATATCTATGGCACTGACAACCTGAAGCAGGGTATCTTCAGCCTGCTTGATGCTAAACCGTAAAGCCGTGCAAAGTTCCGAATAGCTAGCCATGAACTTCAAGTAGGTACCCTAAACCCTAAACCCTAAACCGTACATGCTGAATTCTGCCAGGTGTTCTGCCCATCGCAACATGGCGACGCAGGATGTCCTGAGCTCAGGGCGTTCGGGTGTTGGGGAGCTTGGACCGTAGGCAGTCGGTTTTGGCGTCTTGGAGCGTCGGACTTCACGACGGATTAATGGGTCAGGGTGTGGTGTCTGGGGTCTGGGTACCCTCAAGGCCCTCTGCGGATTCGGAAGGGTCCAAGGAGCCTAAACCCAAAACCCTTACTTGGAGGCTCGGGTTACAAGTCCCCTAGTAGGTTATAAGTATAGCTACCCTACTTATAAGCCCATGTGTAAGTATTCATGAACCCCCAAGTAAACCCCTCCGAAACCCTAAACCCCTAAACCCCCAAACCCCAAACCCCTAAACCCCCAAAACCCCTAAACCCCCAAACCCTGGACCCTGATTCGGATGTTCACGCTGACCCGCTCAGCATCCTCAGGCCCCAAACACCCCCTGAACTCTACTCCGCAGGCCCTTTTCCTAGGTCGTATTACAGGGAGACCCCCCTTAAACGGGGATTTAGGGTTTAAGGGTTAGGGGTTTAGGATTTTGGGTTTAGGATTTAGAGGTGAAGGATTTTGGGTTTAACTTCTGAACCTTACTTCTAGCTCTCTGAAAAGGGACCTTATGGAGAGGGTCTATATCCCCAGAGTTCCCCCTTAATCCGAACTCCGACCCTTGAAACCCGGAAGCTCAGAGCACTGACGCCTCCGTGGTCGGCACCAAACTGGGTTTAGGGTTTAGGGGTTTAGGGTTTAGGGCTGCAAACATGGATAGCACCCTCCAAGAGCAACGTAATTACCTGGACGGGCATGTACATGACAGGCAACTGGGTTCTTGCGAAGAGACTTGTATTTTAAGCTACCATAATGGAGATCTACAACGAAGCTTAGAAATACAAAAGTGCAGAGCCCAAACCTTTCCACCGCACCCCAAACCCCAAACGTTGCACCTCAGCCTTCCTATGCCCTGAGATTCCCGCAAGCCGCATTCTCCATAAATATTAGTTTCAAGGATCACAGCGAAATAGCTACCCTACGCGTCATCCCTCAACTCTAGTCAGCAAACCTCGCACAAGGCCCTCGTAACACCCCAATAAGAACCCTGGTACAGCATGAAATGTGCTTGTAAGGCCTTGCAATGGTGATCGTTAGTAACCGTGATAGGTGAGTCGGTCACCTAGTCGTTTTTGGGTGGTTTGTTTAGCCCTACCATATTGACACAGATTACTGTAAGGGCCTCTTGAATAGGGTTTTGTGGTGTCTTATACTATAATTATACCAAGGAACCCCAAGACCCTACTCCTACTCTAATTATTAAGGCCTCTACATTACCATGTTGAAACAGACTAACTTTTCTTTGGGCCAGGGAATTCGGCAACGGGGAGGCCCTGTAGAGCAAAGCAAGCCCGCCATGCGCTCGAGGTCCCTGGCCCAAGCCGAAGGCTGGGCAAGTTCGCCAGGGTAGGGTTCAGGGTTTAGGATTTAGGATTTAGGTGTTACGGTTTAGGGTTTAGGGGCAGCTTCAACTCTAACATAGGTGCCAGCGGTTCCAATGTTTTGAGTAGGGTTGTGGAATATCTAGTGGCATATCTAATTGCGGAGGAACTGTCAGGGGATACCACTGCCTACCAACTATTCAGCTGCCTGGGCCTTCTTGTCCGTTGCCTGACAGTGCCGGGGGCGGCTTAGCCCGGGATTCATCTAGGCCAACAAGGATTCCAAAATATCCCTGGGGTCCCTAGAACCCTAAACCCTAAACTCTAATGGTTTAGGGTTTCGGCGTCCTCGACATAAACGAGTCCCAGGCCTGCAGGAGCAGGCCACAGAGGATGTTTTTGGAAGGATGAGGCTTCAGGATTATGGCTCCGGGCTTGCAGGGCCTAGGTGACGGAGTGTTTTTGGGCCATTTTAGGGTTTAGGATGGTTTAGGGTTTAGGGTTATTTTAGGGTTTAGGCGCTAGGTCGTTGCAGATTTAGGGCGTAGGGTGGGCCATAGTAGCTTCTTGGAGTGAGGCTTGGGGCGCCGTGAGAAAAGCCGTGCCTTGCAAATCCTGGCTTTCATCCCTCGAAGAAGCTCTCATTTTAGACCGAAGCCGACAGAGAAAGGCAC